CGGCGGGAGCAGCCGCGGCCTGCGGGAAGGCGCGCGGGCCGAGCGGCCGCGTTGGGGGCCGCCCCCAGCCCCTCTCCCGTTCCCCCCGGGGCCGTTTGCGCCGCGTGGGGTTTGCAGAGGCGCCGTGGGGCGACGCCGGCTCCCGCCGCAAGCGCCGCGCGCTCCATCCTCATCCCCGCTTCCTTAGGAGCTTCCTCCTCGGGCATAGCCCCGTTTTCGGTACGTGGGCTGTGAGCAGCGAGCGGGTGTCCCCACGGGGACCGCGTTTGTGCTTGGGGACAAGGGGTCCCCCTCCCCAGACCCCCCGCTTGTAACCTCGGCTTATCCTTGAGCCGTTCTAACCGCAAAGCCCGGCTCCCCTGGGCTGGGCCGTGATCTCATGCCTTGGGAGACAGGTAACTGTTGCGACAGCTTTGCGAGGCGGCACAACGGGGATTACACGGCCTGTTGTGCAATGCGGGACGGCGCTGAGCTGGCTGCAGCTCGGGAGCAGGGAAAACACGCCGGGATGGGCCTGGAGCGTGCAGCGTGTAGAGACCCGCTGCAGCCCGGGCCGAAAGCGCCCCGCGCGCTCGGCCTGCAGCCTCGCGGGGCTCCCTCCGCGCCTTCGGTTACCCGCCTTTATCGGAAAAATAAAGAGCATTTGGGATGCTTTTTATTTCTCTAAATGAGACTTAACTGTGACGCTGTAAGAGAGCAAAGAAGAGCCAAGTTTGGTGTTAGGAGCATTCACAGCAGCGTGGCAAGTGTCAAAAATTGCCAAAAGAAGATTGCCCAGCTCTCTGTGATGATAATGATGGGAAGTTACTCTTCTCCCCTTTAACCAAGCGCTCTTTTTTTGCAGTGTGTCCTGCAGCAGCGAGGAGGGAGCCGCAGCTCCACGGACGGTGCCGCTCGCCCCATGGAGCTTTAGTCTCGAGCACAAACAAGGCCCGAGGCAGGCGCAGCCGCTGGGACGTTCCTGAGCCGTAAGTCCTTGGAAAGCCTTGGAAAGGCGGAGAACGGGGTGGCCAAAGCCCAGCCTGACTATTCAGGAATGTTTTGTTGGTGAAATAGTCGTCCTCGCTACTTATTTTACAAAAATACAGAAAGTTTTACGCTGGTTTCGCCTTGTGCATCAACAGCTGTAAGTTGGAAAGGGAGGTGGATGAACAGGGAGCTGAAGGGATTGTCCTCGTTGAATCGCTTGATTTGTGTCCTCAGGTTAAGACACAGCCCTTATTTCAGAGCAGCCCGTTTCCTTCCTGCCCCCCTGGAATCCCTTGGGAAGAGCAATAAAATTCCAAGGCTCTCCTGGTAAAACAGCGAGTCCCAGCTGAGGGCTGTGAATGAGGAGAGGAGGAGGGCTGCGTTTCTTTTAGGGGGAAAAAAGCTGAATTAATCTTGTATGAACCATTGTGGTAAAGATGCCAGGGGAATAATAGTGGGTTTGTCCTCAAAAGACAATCTCCAAGGCAGACTTTGAGACTTGTTATCTAACAAAGCACTTCGAGGGTTTGTTGCACTGGTGGGAAGGAAGAGCTCAGTGACTTGCTGGTCCTATCTTTTCTAATTGGTGATTATTTTGAAGAAAAATAATTAGTTTAGTGTGATGCTAGAGAGGACAGGAAGCTCTCTTCTGCTGTTCCTGAAAGTCCTAGCGGTTTTGTGGCTCGGGCTTGCAAAATATTACTTCTGTCATTGGGAACCTGTTGAAAGGCGAGTTGCTTTACAGGTACTTGCACGTGGCAGGACCGGGTGCTTTGAGCTTGAAGGACTTGCATTTCCTAGTGAAAAACGCTCTGATTCTGTGAGGAACCAGTGCAAGACGTGCACTGAGTTTCCCTTGCTCCTTTCTTTCCCGGGCTTTGCGGTTGGAGCTGTGCTCAGGGGCTCTCCTATTCCTGTCGGCGTTTAGCAGCCCCTCTTGGAGGGAATATCTGGTAATTATGTGGCTGGTGCAGCCAAAACTCCCAGCCCTTAAGAACTTCGGGCTGAAATCCTGCTCATTGTGAGTTGTCACAAGGCTCCGTGTGGGATAGAAACAGCCCAAGGCAGAGATTCTGATTTCTCTGCCTGAGATATTGGAAAAATCATCTTTTTGGGAAGTTTTTTTAGGAGGGAAGCCACTCATTTAAGCTCTGGTCTTGGTAAACCGAGAGCTAACCCAAACTAGCTGCTGAATTAAATAGGAAGGGCTGCAGGAGCAGTGATGCAGGCGATGATGACGATGATGATGATGCAAAAGGTGTGTGAAGGCTCCATCCCGGCCGTGCAGACTTCAGCAGGAGGCTGATACAGAGGGAAGGAGCCAGGAGTGCTGTTGGGCCCCTCCTTTGCTCTAATTGCAGCCACAACCAGTTCCTGAGAGGGAGGAATTCCATGAATCCACATGATGGATGCCATCCTATTTCACGTAGTTTTATGACAGGGAAGTATTTTCCCTTTTTCTGAATTAACCGCTTTATAACCCGTCACACTTCTGTTTTTCTTCAGGCGTTATGACCCCTTGAACTTCTGCCCCTGCAGCAGAAGTAGCTCTGAACTGGGGGAGATCTGCAAATCTCCTGCTTACAGCAGCCATCTCCATCCAGAAAAACAACTGTGAGGGTCCTGTTTTTACAAAAAAAATGTTAATTTTCTGCCCAATCTGGTAACTGCAGGAAAATCTCAGAGAACCCTCCATATATGTATGGGAAGAGCTGGTACCTCTGCATGATAAGTGCAACAGAACGAGGGAAATCCAGGAGTATTTGCATAGATTTTGTTTAGAAACTTAATATATTAGTAGCACCCAAAACTGAGGCAGTGACCTAAGCGTACCCAGTGACATATGAGCTGCTGGATATGTTGTATGGAAATAAAAGCAGTTTATTACAGAAATAAAAGTAGTTACGTAGGCTTCTGTTTCTTCATGCTGTTCCCTTCTTTGGCTTTTTGTGGAAAAAGGGAATGAAGTAAAGATGCTGAGCATTTATTGTGGCACTCTTCCTTAAAGTTGGTGCCGTAGGAGGTGGTATTCAGACCATGTTCTTTGAGAAAAATATACAATCGGAGTTTAAGAGCCTAAATTAAGTTTTAACTTTATTTTTCTTCTTAATGCAATCAGTAAAGATTAATTGCAGCGTGGACGGCAGGTAGGGTGTGTGCTGGTTACAGATATTAATTTGCCAGGGGAAACGAGTAACTGCAGCTGGAGAGGTGCAGAGGAAAGAAAGAGTGGATGTGATGTGTATTCTTGATAAGTGAGTGGCTTTTGGAGCTATTTCTCTATTTCTCACGTGAGTTTTATCTCAAAAACAGCACTAGAACTTGGTCTGTGGGTTATTAGAAACTAGAGGTGGTTCCATTTTTTGCTTGAAGAGCAAAGCCACATGAGAAGGATTAAGATGGGCTGCAAACAGCTAGCAAGGGCTATTAAGGCATACAAAAGTTATTCTGTAAGTGTGTTAATAGTCAGGAGATTATGGAAGAAAGGATTATGGAAGAAAGGATGGGGAGGGAAACCTGGGCTGAAGCCTTCAGAATCTTCTGCAGCTGACTCCTGGAGGGAACTAATGTCACTTAAATAAAGAGCAGCGTAGCAACGTGGGGGAATTGCACCTATGGGTGCCAGCTGCTGATCAGGAAAAACTTTAAATCTTTAGGAGGCATCTTTGGGAAATCGGTGAGGTTTGAAACGCTAGAAGAGAGCAGAGGTTGCGTAGGTGAAAGGGTGGGAAGAGGAGGAGGGTGGAGAAGCAGCGTCTAAAGTTCAAGAACAAATAACGCAGTGGTTTGAAAGCACCCAGGAGTTGACGGGGCGATGGCCACCTTGTTCAGTGCCTGCGCAAAATGGGTTTGATTCGTTCCCTGCTGAGATGACAGGCCCGTTTCTGGGTCCGGAAACAAGAGCTGCTGCACATCTAGTGCTTAGTTTCCCTTATTTTCTTCTTTTCTCCTAATTTTCAAGTAGATGAGGCTAAACAGAGAAGCCCGAGATGTTCCCAGTAAACACGGGATGCAGATTGGTTAATAGACATCTTGGAAATGCCAGTAAACATCTGCTCATTAAAGCGGATGTGGGTCTTCAATGTGCGTAGTGTGTTTGGCCAGCAAAGCCCCAAGCAAAGGGGCATCCCATGGGAAGCTGGCGAGGGCTGCAGGTAGGTTCTGGGATGGGGTTAAAAATTGAGGAAGGAATTTGGTGATTTTTTTGGTGTTGCCTGAAAAACGGGGCACAGCCCCCAAAGGACAGATAGGAGGTTTCTGTGTTTAAGCAAAAGCTGATTAGCTGCAGGAACCTGAATAATTGATGAGATGCTAATCTAGTGTAAAAGGATCCTTTTACTCGTATGGGCCTGCTGAGTAACCACCTGGGGGCAGGGAGGCAGAGGAGGCGGGGAGGGGATTATTTTGGGGTGCAAAATGAGGAAAAGGAACTGCGGGTGCTGATGCAACCTTCCCGTTGCACCCAGCGCCCTGGCGGCTTTGCCTGGGCCCCTGTCACCTGCCTGGTTTTTGGTGTGACACGTGGAAAACGCCACGAACCCGTTGGAAGGAGCTCGAAGGAGAGAAGGTGGGTCTTCGGAAAGAGCATCAAGGCCACACGGAGGTGTAGGGGAGGGGAGGCTCAAGCTATTTAAGACTCAAACAAGCCTTCCCGTGGAGGGGAAGGAAGTACCTTGGTTTCCACAGCCTCTGCAAGGCGTAAAAACAGCCCCTTGCACGCGAGGAAGGGGCACAGGTAAGTTGTGAAAAGGCACCTAAAGCTCATTAGAAGCCCAGGTTGCCTGGTGGCTGTGGAGGTTCCCACTAAATACTTTGGAACAAGTTGGATAAACGTTGGCTGGGGATCATCTAGGCTTAACTGACAGGCTCTGAGTTAGGTCTATGAATTACCCCCCTGCAAACAGCCCCGTTTCTTCTGAGTCTTGTGCAGGTTGGTTGCAGCTACTGGGTGGCTTCTCATGCTCCGGTTGCCCTGTGAGATTCCAGTCGGTGCCAGTGGTTCAGTGCCATGAATGGAGCAGGTGGGCAGCAGGGGCCCGTCCTTCTGTGCAGGGCCACATCGTGGCCTTGGCCGTGTCACAGAAACGTGTTTTGGTACCACCGACCGGCTGGAAACCTTTGACGAAGGCCAGCGAGGAGGGATCCCAACAAAACAGCTCCCGGATTTTCTGTAATGGGTGGAAAGCATGAGCTCTGCTGGCACAGACAGCTGAGATGCTGAACTTCATCTTGCAGAGGAGGGTTAGAAAACAGAGTTAGAGAAGAGAGGACAACCTCGGTGCTGGCCTGTGCTGGGTGTTTGCTCTATGAAGCTACAGCGATGGCCCCTTATGGAATGGGCTAAGCAGAGGACGTCGTCTTCAGAAAGAATCCTCGCCCTCGTTTAGAAGCTTTAAATATAGATTTAAAGCACCTGTTCAGGGCCTTCATATAAGGCAGGTATGTCCTGAACAAGAGCAGGGATTCTCTTTGCTGGCTGCTGTTTGCATCCCAAAATAGCCGTGACTTGGGAGCAGGAGCTTTCTCTCCGCTGCCTCCAATGGGAGCTGCTTGAATTCCTCAGTTCTGTGGCTGCTGAGGAGGAGGAATATCCAAAAACGGGTTGAAGAGAGTGTTGGGCTCGGTTCCTGCTCCGTCGTGGCTTCTGAGTCGCCCCAGTTAATGGTCAAACTGGGCTTTGTGGCCGCGCGACCTGTGGGTGTTGCGTCACTCTTGATATTTTTAGGAGAAAGCAGCTCCCCGGGTGCCTGCTGTAGAGCGGCTACGGCGATAAACAGAGAGAGGCTGCTGGTGCCCAAAGGGCCCACGTGGTCCGCGTTGCACAAGAGCAGGGCCAAAGGGCTGCTCAAGGGGGTATCTCCTTCTTGGCGTGATGGTCGGGTGCAGCCGCAGGCCGGGAACGTTGAGGTCCCACCGGGAACGTTGAGGTCCCACCGCTAACGTGACATCCCAGCAACGTGCCTTGGGCCTCAAGGGCCTCCTTGCGCTTTCTTCCAAA